TTTCAATCAGTCCGTATAGTCTCTTCCTCTTTGTAGTGAGCAAGAGTTGTCAACAAGGTCAACTGCCTATGGGCGGTCGGCCTCAATGTCTAAGTTTTTATAAACCTTAGGCCCAGATCGTTGCATTTCCAAGTAATCAGTGCTTGGCTATATTCAATCATTCATTTCTTGATCTTGAAATTGACAATGCCCCTGAGTGTAGACCAGATCCTCAGATCAGTTGCTTGCAAAACGATCAGGTTTAGTGATTTCTAGGTCAATCTTGACCAAGTCGACAACCTGTCCATTCTGCTATGACAGTCCTTAAGCGACCGATACTATCATATAGGTTCATTACAACATCTTGCATGCCCGCGCGTACTGCACATTTCTTCCACAACCGGCTGAAAAGCTCTCTTGACGATCTTAGCACAAATCGTCTGCTAGGTCAATTTGTCTACTCTAAAGGTTACGCCTTTGGTCGGGTGTATGAAATTGTCCGATCTTGGATATATCAAATTATTAGTCGAATTCATCAACATCCTGATATCTTAACAAAGGCCTAGCAGGTCCTGATATCTTAACAATGGCCTAGCAGGTCCAATCGAGAGTGAAAAAAAAGTTGTTCTCTCTGAAATTGTTATGGATATGTTGGGCCTGCGTCTATTAGGAGTGCCTTGAGATATGTGGATAAATAGATCAGGGTTTATTTAGTTCGAAAATAAGGAATAAGAGTAAGAAGAGCTTAAGAGGGAGAAAAGCAAAGATGAGAAGGACATGAGAGAAATATAAGAAATTAGAGGGATTGGAAAAGAAAGGTAGACATAAGGTGACTTATGGAACAATTTAGTTTGTTTGTATAAATTCATGCCTAAGAGTGCCCTCCAAGAAAGATGCATTTTTAGAAATTTTATAAAAACCCAAAAATGTTCTAAATATATGAAATATTTACAATTTATGGATTTTAGGCGCATATGGCCCTCTTCGCACTATTTTAGCTATATAAAATTCTATTCAAGTTTTTGCGAATTTGAGTTCATTATTTAGCCTGATTTTCTGGATCCGCGCCAACAATAGCAAATCATAATAATGGCTTCAATTTACATATTTTTTATTTAGCCAAAATGAGGACAAAAGATTTAGAACCTTAATAATTTTTGCTATTTTAGTTTTTTTTTTAAAATTTATCGATCAATATTTTGAATTTATTTTATCATTGAAATGTGTAGTTGTTGAGTCTAAAATTATAAATAAAATTCTAAATATTTTTATAAAATATGCTTAATTTGTTACTCCAATTCTAAAAGTAATCATTCTATAATTTAAAATTTATTATTTACTTAATTAATAAAATAACACAATATAAACTTTGAAACCATCTCCTATTTACAACCCTTGGAGGTCACAATATTTTTGCTCTGCTTAGCCTAGTTGATGCTAGCTAGCCAAAATTATAGCTTAAATATTAAATTATAATTTAATGTTTTGGCCTTCTAAAACTTGTATACTAAGCTACTGGACATTATTGAACATGACGTCAAAGACCAAATAGCATCCATAACACGCAAACTGAAATCATGCTTGTCATTGCATATACGAAAAGAGTCCAACAAATACACAATAATATAATTTTTATTTGTGACCAATGTTGGCATTCCAAGCAATTAAAACCATTACATGATAACTCTCAAGTCAATTACCCATCAAAATCCCTAATTAAAACTCCCTACCCCACTTCATTAATATAGGCATGGATTATAGGATTCTAGAGACTTTTATTCGCAACTAATTAGTGTTAAGTTCTAGTCATGAGTATTATAGCTTACAGTATTATTTTGACATATTGAGAGCCTTCTAATGAATTAAAATTAGTGAAATATTTCATTATTTTTTTTCTATAAATATTCCCATATATATTTTTTGAACGAAACTAATCTCATTTGAGGTTGGTAGTGTATAAATATTTTCTTAATAAATTGAATATCTGACCTGCTAAAATAACCCGTTGAATTTAAGTTTGCGTTACTACTCCTCAGCTTTTATAACATTAATAAAAAGTTCTATATTTTTTTAGTAAGATTTGTAAATTTAAATATTGAATAGTTAAAACTTACTATATTTCAATGTTGAATAATATGTTTTTAAAATTGTATAATTGCTTAAAAATTGAATCACTTCTTGTATTCACTATAAATTTTTAAGTTATAGATTTTAACTTATTCTTTTGAGTGAACTACTATTTCTTAATTTTAATGACTTCACGTGAATAAAACTAAATGAAAACATAACATTTATATAGCGGATCATTTTAAAATTAAAGCTTAGTTATTACTCTCTCTGTTCCAAAATATAAATTATTTAAAATTTTTGCACAAGAATCAAGAAAGTAATTAACTCTTCTAGATTATAACAAAACAATAGATTATTTGACTCAATTATCATTTATCTCCAAAATAATAGTTACTTGTTAAAGTATTTATTATAAATGAGGATAATATCAGAAAAATATTATTTATTACTTCTTTAAATACTCAAACCGACTTATATTTTGAGACAAAATGAGTACTTTTTAATTTAATTAGATATTCAAAACTTTACGCCCTTAATTTAAATTTCTAGTTTTGCCCCTATATAAGGCTATCAATTATTACATTGGGTTTAGATTCTACTACTTTTGATTTTGTTAATCAAATTTCATCTAGATTTCATAACATGCCAATGTTAGAAAGAAATTTATTCGACTCTAAGACTCCGTTTGTTTTTAAAAATTAATTTATCTGAAAAAATATTTACAAATTTTCTGATATTTGGAGTCCTAAAAAAAAAATCAACAAAACATACTTTTCGTGGTCAAACAAAAATTTTAAATTATTTTTAAAGAAAATGACTTTCTACTTTTAAGAAAAGAAAAACATATTTTTTGAATATATGAAGATCCCTAGATTGTAAGAACGTCCGCGCTTACCCCCGACGTTCCATTGAAGTAGTAGGCATGGATTATTAGGATTCTAGAGACTGTTTATTCGCAACGTAGAATTAGTGGTTTTCAAGTGGTCTGAGTCATGAGGGTAAAGTGATGTAGCTTACAGTATATGTTTGGACATATTGGAGCCTTCTAATGAATGTTGAAGAATAGTGAAATATTTCGATTATTTTTTTTTCGGTATAGAATGATTGCCGCATTAGGTAGTATTTTTTGAAAACGAAGACGTATCTCATTTGAGAGTTGGTTAGTTGTTTTGATTATAAATATGTTTGCTTAATAAATTGAATATCTGACCTGCTAAAAAAACGCCGTTGAATGTAAGTTTGCGTTACTACTCCTCGAGCTTTTAGTAACAGTTAATAAAGAAGTGTTCTGATAGTTTTTTTAGATAAGGATTTGTAGGAATTTTAGAATATTGAAAGTTTAAAACGTGTACTATATGTTCAATGTTGAATAAATGTTTTTTTAAAATTGTAGTTAGATTGCTTGAAAAGAGTGTCACTTCTTGTATTCACTATAAATTTTTTTAAGTGTATAGATTTTAAGCTTATTTCTTTTGTGAGGAGGGAACTACTTTCTTAAGTTTGAATGACTTCACCTGTGAAATAAAAAGCTAAATTGAAAAAGCAAAGGCAAATTTATATGAGCGGATCATGTTTGAAGATTGTAAAGGCGTTTAGTTAGTACTCTCTCGTGTTCGGCCAAAATATAAATATTTTAGAAATTTTGCACAAGAATTCAAGGAGAAGTAATTGAAGCTCGTTCTAGATGTTATAAACAAAAAATTCTAGAAGATTAGTTGACTCAAATTATGCAGTTTATGCTCTCTCTTATAAATAATGTTATCTTATGTTAAACGTTATTATGAGGGAGACATATTCAGGAAGAAATATATGATACTTCTTTAAATACTCAAACCGAATATATTTTGAGGACAAAGAGTAGCTTTTTTAATTTAAATTAGTATTTCAAAACGTTTACGGCACGCTGGTAATGTTTAAATTTCGAGTTTTGCCGCCTAATATAAGGCTATCAATATTACAGTTGGGTGTAGATTTCTACTAGCTTCTTTGATTTTGTGTGGAATCAAATTCGTATCTAGGATTTGGCATAAGAACATGGCCAATGTGGGAGAGGAAGAAATTATTTCACTCTGAAGGACTCGCTAGGTTGTGTTTGGTAAAGAATTAATTTATCTAAAGAAGATATATTTACAATTTTGCTGGATATTGGAGTGCGCTGGAAAAAAAAAAATGCAAGGCAAAACATACGTTTTCGTGTGGTCAAGAGCAGGAAAAATTGTAAATATTTTTAAAGAGAAATGAGCTTTCTAAGCTTTTAAGAGAAAAGGAAAAACATGATTTTTATAGATATATATAATAGTAATATATATATAGTATATAATATAGTGTAGGTATATTATATTAGACTCACTGGTACCACCACTAACATTAGTGCATGTCAGCCATCAGATTACCTACACATTGGCCAAACCCGGTGGCGATTAACCGCGGTGACATATATATATTAATCACTGGTATCCACCACTAACAATTATCATTCACCATCAATTACCTACACTATTGGCCAACCCTGGCGGTTACCCGTGACTATCACCATCTATTATTTTTTATGCACCTATTCTCACATTTAACAATAAATTTTTAAAATATAAGATTTCTATAATTATAAATAGAAATATTTTTATGGTTTTATAAGTTAAATTTTTAATATTTTAAACTAATTTTCAACATGGCCAAGCAAACAATGAAAAATGAGTTATTTAAAAAATATATTATTTTCTGAAAACAAATGGAGGTGAATCAAATTTTTTTACTAAAGATTTTAATATTTAAATTAATATTTATTGAATAAAACAAGATAAAGTTTTGTCCTTATAATATTTGATTATCAATTATGGTATGCAATTAGGACTTTTGTCATAATATTTTGATTAGCAATTATTATATACATTAGAGAGCTTTGTCCTTGCGTGTAATAGGTCTCTATATATATACTCGTCCATTCCTCTACCTTTGCTTCAAAGTTCAAGCAGCAAATCTTGATATTTCTCTCTTCATCCCTAGAGAAAGAGAGAGAGAGAGAGAGAGAGAGAGAGAGAGAGAGAGAGAGATGGCTTTGAGATGGCTTCTTCACTCGGCATGTCAAGTTTTAGGGTACCCTCTCAAGGACAGTACTGACATGCAAGGGAGTCATGGTGTTGTAGGGTACCCATGTGAAAAAGATGTCTATGGAGTCATTAAGATGGAAACATACCCTTCTGGAGGGTTCCAAATGCCTCTTCATTACCCTAAATACACAAAGTCAGACTACGAGAAGATGGAAGAGTGGAGGGTAGACTTGCTTCTTAGGGAATATGGCCTAAATTTTAAGGGTACACTTGAAGAGAAGAGGGAATTTGCAACGGGGGCATTCTTGTGGCCAGGTCAATATTGATCTATCTGTCTATATATCTATATATATAGAGAGAGAGAGGGAGAGAGAGAGAGAGACCGACCTAAATTTGCTACTGATTAGCATATTAATTATGTATAATAATAATGAAAATACAGAGTGTTGATGGAGGAGAAGTAATGTTCCCTGAAGATCTCTCTATCTAATTAAGAAATTAAAGTACTGTTTTATGTTACCTTCTCTCTTTTTTTTTTTTCTCTTTTAAATTTCACACTTGTTATTTTTTATGTTTTCTATTATTTAGTTTTATTTATAATTATAAAAATGAATCAATAATGTTTAATTTCCCTTATAAACTTAATCATGATATACAATTTATCCAAAATTGACATTTTTTTTTTATCAATTTTAAATAGTAAATTTCAACCAAAAGTCACAATTTTTTTTTTTATTGGAACAAATGTATTAACTAGATCGCTAGATGAAAATGGATAATATATTTGAGTTGAGAGGAAATAAGATTACTGGATGATGTTATTATCCATTTTTCATGTACATTGACCAATAAAAGAATCAACCAAATTGGTGCAATAATTGAAAGTTCTTGATAGAATCCACCCAAAAACTAAAACTTGAATAAATTGTTATATTGTAAGCAAGTTTAAAAAATAAATGTTTTACGTTTCTTTAATCTCAACGATTAAGAATATATGTGTCAATCAAGATGTTAATTTTTTTATTTTTAAACATTCTCTCCGTCCTATTTTATTTGCATGGTTTGACAAAACACGCATATTAAAAATTTAGGAAATAAAAATTATTTTACCATTTTTCATCCTTAACTTATTTAAGATATTAATAAAAGTCTTTCGTTTAATGAACAATCATAAATGTTATTATGAGAAAATCAATTGTTTAAATAGTATAAATTTTAAAATCTTACAAACATTTTCTGACATAAAAAATAGGAATAACAAACAAACAAAATGAGATAGAGAAAGTATTTTTAATGAGTGAATGAAAAAGTATAGTCAATGACTTGTAAATTAAGAAAATATTAACAAAAATTTATTGCTGATCACTTAGCAGAAGAGTTATTCTTTGAGGACAAAGCATTAGTTATTTATTGCTTGAAATGGAAGAGAAAATGTGGCTTGCTACAATTTCTGGACACTAATTTGCAACAATGCTTTGAATGGGATGAGGTCATAGATACTAGGCATAAAACTTTAAAACAATGAAAACTGAGCTCAAACATTCTTCTAAACCATAATAACTGACCACATTATGATAGTGTTCGTTTTTTTGGATAACTTAAGGTAGTTGCCGTTTGTTCTCTATTAAATTTTTCATTTTTTGTTTTTTTCTTTCAAAAATAAATAAAACCTTCTTATTTAAACTTGTTTAAATTTTTTTCTTTGCTTTTGAGAAAACTGTTTTGAAAACAAAAGGCAAATTTTGTGAAACTACAAATAGTGATTTATAGAATTGTGTCTGTTTTTAATTCTACATTTCTAATTTGTTTCGTTTTAATAAGATTTATCCTCATAACATTATTATTGTTGTTGTTTTACTATTATTTTCTCTATCTAAATAAATCTAATGTCATTTATTTATCCAAAATATGAAAGCATATATTTTTATTTCTATTCAAATTCTCAGTTTTTTTTTTCTATCTCTTCTCTATTTAGTATTATTTTTATATTTATTATTTAATTTCTATTCAAATTCTCAGTTTTTTTTTTCTATCTCTTCTCTATTTAGTATTATTTTTATATTTATTATTATTTTCTCTATCTATATAAATCTAATATCATTTGGTATTATTTATTTATTATAATATTTGAGTATTATATTTTTATTCAACATAATAATCGATAGTTATTGTAATATAGAAATTTTAAAATTAAATTGTAAAGTATTTTTAATTATTTCATCTGAAAATTTAAATTTTTAGAAAATTCGTTATTAACTAAAATTTTTAATAACTTAATAAGAGAGAGATTTGATAATTGGAAGAATTTTTCACATTGTAAACAAAAAAAAAAAAAAGAAAAATAAATTAAAAAAAAAGTTTTCAAAAAACAAGTAACCAAAAACTAAAAAACTGTTTCATGTTTCTAATGAATAAAAAACTCAAAACAAACAACTATAACAAACGGGGCCTAAGGTGTTGTTTGTTTTCCATTAAATTTTTTATTTTTCATTTTTTCTTAAAAAAATAAATAAAAATTTGTTTGTTTGAACTTGTTTAATTTTTTTTATTCACTTTTTAGAAAACTGTTTTTGAAACAAAAAACCAAATTTTATGAAACAACAAATAGTGGTTTACGAAATTGTGTTTTATGTTTTTAATTTTACATTCCTAATCTTTTTTCATTTTTTATAAGATTTATCCTTCTAAATTATTATTATTATTATTATTTTCTTTATCTATCTAATGTCATTTATTTATCTAAAATATACAAGCAAAAAGTTTTATCTCTATTAAAATTCTCTGCTTTTTTTTTTTTTTCTATTTCATTTCTATTTAGTATTATTTTTATATTTAATATTTTTTCTCTGTCTATGTAACTCTAATCTATGTAACTCTAATGTCATTTAATATTTTTTTTTGTGAACTGAAAAGATGGATTAATTATTAAGAGCATCATAAAACAGTACATCATAAATAAAAGATGGAATAAGCAACCATTCCATTAGGTCAGGCCTAGAACTAGCAACTCTAACAAGCTCATGAGCTACTTAGTTTGCTGACCGTCTAGCAAAAACAAAAACCAATGGCGCAAAATTTGTAGCTAGAATTTTGCAGTCTTGAATAATAGACCCAAAATAAGAAATATCCAAAGTTTCTCGTGAAAGAGCCTGAACCACTAATAAGCATTAGCCAATGCTTTACAAACAATTCGATCAATGGCATTACAAAGTGAGATGGGCCTTAAATTCGATACAAATTCAGGAGTCTTCTTTTTAGGAATTAGAATGATGTTTGTAAAGTTACCTCCCAGGGCTGGCGCATTAGCACGAGTAACATTAGTACACACAATAGGCTAAAAAGAGCGGAAGAATCCCGGATTAAGGCCATCCGGACCTGGTGCTTTGTTCGGATGCATACTGAAAACCATATCTTTGATCTCCTTATGCAAGAAAGGGTGATCCAAATTATTATTCATAGCCTCTGTAACTCGACTGTTAACAGCCTCCAGAACTGACTCCATATCACCTTGTGAAGAGATAAAAAGATTAGAATAGAATTGAGTCACCAAAGTCAATAAACCAATGCCACATGTCAGCCATTCATTGTTATCATTCTTTTACTGCTTAATCATATTTCTTTTCCATCTTTTAGAAGCCATCAAATGAAAAAAACTAGTGTTAGTATCGTACTTCTATAACCGGCTTTGTTTAGCCCTTTATTGCTAATAAATTTCACACTGCTTGAGGACCCGTATGTATGCTTCCTTTATAACTCAGAAATGCTGCATAACTACCAGATCAGTGCGGTTATGAAACCACGCCATTTACTGTCGTGCTTATTTTAATTTTTTCGAAAATCATTCCTACTTATGTCGTCCCCACTGTTTCAAAAGAACCCCACTTTAGCGAATCTATTCTCCGATCCGGTGGTCAGTGTCTATTGCCCAAGCTTCCTGAAAGTTGCATTCACATCAACCTCTTTGAGATAAGAATTTTCAAATCTAAAAGATTTTGGTGCATACTAAATAACCAAAATTCCTAAGGATAAGAAAATGGCCAAGTGATCACTATTACAAACTTCTAAATGAAAAATAACATCAGAAAAAGGTTATGCCAACCCATACTGACTACCGCTCTATCAAGCCATTCGCGAATCCAATCCGGAGAATTTCGACCTCGTTCCTAAGTAAATCTATTACCTTTAAAACCCATATCATATAAACCACAGTTTTCAACCGTCCGTCTAAAACCCTCCACCAACCAAGTTGGCTGTTGATCCTTCCCATTTATCTCCATAGCATAAAATATTGTTAAAGTCCCTGCCACACGCCATGGTAGCTTTGATTTGTGCTTTGGAGATTGTAATAGAGCCTAAGTATCCCTTTGACGATGAGGCTCGTGCATGCCATAAAAACCAGTGAACCGAAATTTTGGAATACCTGTAATCTCCACCAAAGCATCAATGAAGTTATTATGGTATCCTATTAATGAAGACATGGCTCTATATTTCCAAAGCAGTGCTAGGCCACCTCTAATACCTTATAGTCGGACCACAAAAGTACCTTCAAAACCCAATCTTCTCTCGACTCGATCAACTTGCTCAAACCCCACTTTCATTTCTATCAAAAACACCAGATTGGGTTTGTTAAAGTTAACTAACTTAACAAGTTCAGAAACTGTCTCTTGGTTCCCAAGCCCTCGATAGTTCCATGTTAAGGAATTCATGATAACTGGCGGGCCTAGTCCCTAGGTCCCGCCCCAAGTCCATTTTTTGAGATATCAATTGCTTGAGAATTATTAACGGCATTAGAGTTCTCAATGTCTTGCCTTTTACGCTTAGGATCCACCATGATGACACCATCATCTGCATCATCAAAATTATCGTCCCCTATATGGTTTTCCTTTTCAACATTCACACCTTGACCCTCCTTAACACCTCCCTACGTCCCTCCACTCGACCTCATAGCAGTGGTATTAAAGCTACGAGCCATGTGTGCTCTTTTAGTCTTTGGAATCTCAGGTTTTAACCAACAAGCTCCCGCTTGTCTAGTACTCCGACTATCTGCTCTCAGCCAAGGCCCATACAAAAATTGCTCCTTTGTCACTCCTAGTTTTAGAAACAATTTGTGACAACCTTTGTCTGAGTGCGCCAACATGCCGCAGAAGAAATAAAGGTAGCAAGTCGCTCGTACTTGAAGGAAATACAAAAACCTTCTCCCTTTGGTCATCTGATTTTCATTCTTCATTTAAGAGGTTTGCGGACGTCCATGCCAACCGTCACCCGCATATAATCCCTCTAGATGAGTTCATAGTTTCTTAGATCTAATGTTAAAAATTCTCCCACAAAATTAGAAACGTCATGAGCAACACGTTAAGATTTGGACCCAGCTTGAAGGTCATGTAAATGGATCCAAATATCCACCGTAGTTAATTCAATATGACGAGGGTTTTCCTTTCGCTGCAATGGTTTCAACAGTAGGAGACTTTATGAAAAATTCCATAGACCCCCTCCAAGACGCGGTCATGATCAATTTGATG